GCGAAATATCGGCCCGATCCTATCCGATATAAAATATCGGTACATCCCTACATTTTAGTAAACATTTGGGATAAAATAATAATATTGCTGTATCCACGTTATAAGTTTTGAACCTAAAAGCTCCAGGTGTTTCATTTTCCAAATTTCTTTGAATTTAATATTTTATGATACATATATCTATTTACAAAAAAACTTATGACAACCATGGGTTTTTTAGTATTGCGATTTAACCCTCTATTGCGCGACATATTAATAAACTAAAAATAATTTAAAAAAAAAAATTTTTTTAAACCGTAAAAAAATTTTTAATGTGTGTTTTAAACAGGGCTGGCAAGTCGATCAATTGACCGGTCAAATTCGGTCAATTGACAGTTAGGTCAAATACTCTAAAATGTTGTTGGTGAATAACTATATTTATATAATGAACTAATATGTATAAAGTATATTTATCCATCTAATTTATTTACAAATTATTTTACAATATATTTTATTAGGCATCTATTTAATTATAATTTTATATAAAAATATAAAATTTTCATATTAAAATATTAAGAATTTTTTTCATTATTAATTTGATTGAATCTAAATATATAAATAAATATAAAAATTTAACTTAAGTATAGTTTGAGTAAATTGCTAATTGCCAATTTATATTACATTATGTACAATTATCCAAACAAGTTGGGCATCATCAATAATATATAATGAGCAAATACAAATATGCAACAAAGCTCTGAAAGCAGCTGTTGAAGAAGTTGGATATTTGTCCGAGAGAAATTATCAATAATATATAATATATTAAATTATATATTTTGGACAAAAAATTTAAAATTTTAAACTATTCTGGCTCACTTAAAAAATGAGATGCTTAATTTAGAAAACACATAATACAATCATGTCCATGATTTTATAATTTTCCAACCTAAAGAAAAAATATTAAAGATTAGTTTGAAAAAGAAAACATCAAATACATGTGCTCACACTGCACTGCTGATTATTGATCCCCAATATAAGGGGCATCTTTCTTGAGTTTGATGAAGTATATGACATAAAAATTAGTCGTTTCATAAAAAGATGATCATTAAAATATTTTATAAATTTCAGAAGTAAAAGCGTCGTATAGCCAAAATGTAGAAACCAGTAATTTTCATAAAAAACAATCAGATTTCGGGCTCAGTTGTTGTAATGGGCTTTGTTCACTTTTAATATTAAGAGAAATGTCTAAGAAATCAGATTGAAGATCTCGACAACCAGGAAATTTGTAGGAGTATATCATAACCTAAGATTGATTAAAAAATGTTAAAAAAAATAAGATTGATTATAAATTAGAACAAGGTTATGCCATGGAAAGCGAAACATTAATTATAGAATTTAAAAAATAATTTAATATACATACATTTTTTATCCTAAACAACATTTATTTGAATTTGACCATATTTGACTGGTCAAATATCGGTCAATTGACCGAATCTTATTTGACCGGTCAAATGCACAACCCTGGTTTTAAATACACAATGCGTATAAAAAGTATTATATTTTTTCAATTTCAAACCTATTACAAAATAAAGACATATAATTTTATTATATGATAAATAATGTAATAAAACAAATTTATATTAATTTATGAAATAATTTAAAACAATAGTTTTTTGTAGTAAAACATAATGATACACCATATTTGATACCAATCACTTCGTAATCAATTTACACCCAGGGTTTTTGCATCGCGCCTTTTTACTATATTTTGGCCAATGTGCTATTAAATCCTGTCTTATTCCTTTCTGCGTAATAAGACTTGTAGGCCCCTTGCTAGATTCTTTTTTATATTTAGTGTCAATTGATATTCATTTTTTTACGCTAGCGTTCATATTTTTTTAAATTTACAGAGTATCTGCTATTGAAATTTTAAATGTTAATAATGGCATCTGTTCTTTTACTGGTAACTTTAAAGCTACAAAATCTCCCCTATACATTAACCAAGATTTATGAGCATCATATCAAGTATATAGAATTCTATACGGTGATACCATTTATGTGATCTTATGTGAATTTGATATAAAGCAATCAATGAATCCATTAAATCGACACCTCCCATATTTATATTGTAAACTTTTATAGCTGCTTGGACACGGAATTTTAATTTTCAGTCGTTCCTTTCTATCAAATCGGTCACAATCTCCAACAGGGTAACTACCTATATACGTATTTACGATAATTACAAACCTATTATGCCATTTAGTAGCATTTCTACACCATTTACTGTTGCCTTCTCGATAAAAGATCCACGCTCCATCTTTTAGAATTCTTTTTCAGTTGGAAACTGTCATTTATAAATTCTATTAGCTCTCGCTATAGCAATGCTCTCTTTTGGGCGATTAATACTTGAAGTTCTATATCACAGAACCAATTATAAAAACACAATTTAAAATTGGAATGTAGTGGTACCAATAGTTGAAATACCGCATTTCCGCTAGTATCAACATCTGTTGATCTTGAATCAAGATTCCTCATCTGATGAACCTTTAAGGTAAGATTCAGAACTATCTTCTGGAATACAGTACATTTTGACTATAGATAGCAAATAAAGAATATTTAATAATTTTAAAAAAATAATCAAAAAAGCACAAATTCATATTGCTGCGCATTATGTATCTGGGTACACGTACCTTAAAACTTATATTCTAAACACTATTAATGAATATAACAATATATTTATATATAAAACATTTCTTTTACCTTTATTTAATAGGATTCTTGTTCCTGTTCCTTAAAAATTTGTGCAGGAGAAATGATATGATTTATAAAATGTAAAAAATGCAACTATTCGAAAGTTGTAAATTACGTATTTTAGAATTTTTATATTGATAGATGTCTTTCATTTTTGACAAAATTAACTATAGAAATAAATAAAATTATGTGTATCTATTATACATCATGTGTTATTAAAATTTATGCCTTTTTTTTAGGTATGTGTATTCAAATATGATGTACACAATAGAGGGTTAATACTCTATTTTATATGGGTGCAACATCTATTTGAAAAATATTCATTACTTTTCTTAAAATCGTAATAAATAAAATTATTATTTTTTTGAATAGTAAAATATCAAATTCGAAGAAACTATTGATTCAGGAACTATTAGTACCACGAGGCTAAAATTTTGGATTCGATAATATCTAGTGATGTTCTCTCAGTATGAAAAATTTTATCAAAATTAAAAAGGTCGGGCCAAAAGTTATCGATTTGGTATGGAATTACCCTAATTGCAAATTTAAAATAAATTTATTTAAAAAAGGCATAAGGTTTTCGTTATTTTTGGCAATCAATGTCTATAATAATAGGCTTTTTTAATCTTTTACTCATGTTAAATTATTAGCCTTAAATTAAGAACTAAATTAAATCAAATATTTAATCTAATATTAATAAATAATTCAATAATTTATAATGAAGGGGGAAACATCAAAATTAATTTGAAAATTGAAAATTAATATTTCGAAATGATCATGATTTAATTCTTTTTCTATTATTCATTTACTATTTTTCTAATAATTTCTCTAATAGTAAGCGCTGTTGGGTAATTATTTAAAAAATATCAATGTAAAAGACTTTTTTATCGTTTAAAATCATTTCAAGGCATTTAAATTGATTTACTAATGATCAGAGATTTGCTTCTAAAAATTAAAAAAGAATTTAATATTATATTTTCTAGCAGGCCTGGATTTTTGGAAATATGAGTACCTAAATACATAAAAATATTGTTTTATTTTCATTAAAACAATTTTTGGATAAGGGCTTGGGCTAGTCTTGGGAAAAATTTTGAAACTTATTTTGGTAATGTTGTTAAACGACTCGATTTGAGTCGATGTTTAAAAATGCACTACTCAATATTTTAACCTGAAAAATATTATGCAAACCTGAAGATTTTACTCATGGATGGCACAAAAGTTTGTACATCGCGAAATTTCGAGGCTTAGCAATATTTCCTGGCTAAAATATTAAGTTATCTGTTTTTAAAATCTGCTCGAATTGAGCCATTTAACAACCTTAATTATTAAATACTGCAGGTCTGGGCCGGACTTGATCAATAAATTAAGTTTAGCTAAAGCCGGCTAGTAATATGCATTTTGGGGAGATTTTATTTTAGCCATATTTTAAAAACAACTAAATTTTATAAAAAAAATTTTTTTTCAAATAAATAATATTACTCTTAAATCAATTATAAATGCCTTAAAATTTTTAACGATAGTAAAGGCCTTTTATTGTATTAAAATGTTCATATATAGCGCCATATATACTTTTTTATACATTATGCCGGATATTTATTTTAATTTTTAAATATATATCCAGCCGCACTAATTATTTAAGAAATTATTAGAAAAATAGTAAAATAATATGGAAAATAAAAATTTAGAACACTGAAGCGCATAATATATTCGAAGTATTAATTTTCAAAGATACATAAGATGACCAATATTTAAAAATTTAATTTTGATATATCCCCATAATTATCAATTATTGACAGTTATTAATATTAGGTTCAATATTCGAGCTAATTTAGCTTATAATTAAAACTAATTACTTATCATCAGTTAAAGATATTAAAAGCCGTGCCAGGTAATATAATTGCTAATGAGTTAAGATTTTTACAGATATTACTACAATATATATATAACGTGCCTACAAGTTAAAGGGGTCGGCCGAAAATCTTAATTTTCTTGCTCATTTGATATATAAGATGGATTCTAAAAGATTAGATAATCTTCCAAATTGTATGGTATCCACATTTGCAAATACTTAAGTATCATCGAGATCAGATGAAAATTCTAAATCATGCATATAAAGAGATATATATGGTGGCTTTTCATATTTTTTAAATTTAGTGATATATTTAATAAAGGGTTTGATTGAATGAGTAAACCCTGTATTTAAATTTAAAATTAGCTTAACCTTTCATTAATATGAAAATATTTTTTAAAATTTTATTGCTAATTTATATAAGGTACAATAATCTCCAAAGCATGAATTATAATAACTACACCAGCAAATATGTATCACCTAACACAACATTAGCTTCCATCAATTCATACAATTGTCAGTCACATGATCTTTTTGATGCGACCACTCGACATTCTAACAAAGTTACCCAAATTGAAAGCGATAATTCTCGTGTTTCTGATATTAGTGACACTTCTCCGATTAATACCACTTCCCTCGACAATATCCCGTATACATTATTTTACATATATTGTAAGATTTTACTGTCAAGGTTTTACTTTTATTAATTATATTAAATTTACTTTGTACAAAGTCTTATCGAATTCTTTACAATACCGTAGTAGTTATTTTTATATATTACTTATATTTCACATATAACAGACACAATGCTGATTCTACTATTAGTCACTCCAATAATGCAAACATTGCTGAAAGTTTTTCAAAGCCAATCAGTCTTTCTAGTGATATCTTTGAGCTCGATAAACAAATCGATTTATTAAGCCACACCCAATCAAATATTCTCTACATTAACAACAATTCACAGTCACAAATGTAAGAAATCAACACATTATTTATTTCGAGAACTGTGCCGATATTAAATATAGGATTGGGGCGTTTAAAAAACGGATCGGCCTATATTATTTTCAAAAATACCCGTCCATATTATTGTCTTTTATTATTTTACAATTGTATTTTTTTAATAATTTTCTAATATGAATGAATAAAATGGACCAAGATTCAAAATGTTTAAAAAAAATAGAATTCTTTTAAAAGAAAGGGTAGCTAATGTGATATAAGTTTTTTCATCAAGCGAAGGATTTAAAATAATTTACCCATCCTCTTTCAGCCATAAACATTGCCCATATTTTAAATGACATAATTAACTTTTTGGGGAATTAAAGAACAAAATACCTTAAGTATTCGTGATAATCCACCAAATAATGCCTTGGCTGAGAAACGGAAGATTTTAAAGTATAAAATTTTATGACATTGGTTCAAAGATGGAGGTAAATTCATAAATATTCAGATCGATTTTGTGTGAATATCGAACCGGATTAGTAAAAAATTAAGATTTATGATAAAATATTAAATTTTACTCTTTTTTATTAGGTTAAAATCAAAGACTAGACCTTTCCTAGCTTTAGGTTCTGGTCCTTTTTCTAAATTTATTGAGACTTACATTATTTCGCGCTAAGTATAAAACGTTCATAATTTTTTGCTTGATTGCTCAGAATTTAAAAATACTGAAAGCTAAAAAAATTACCTATTTTATCACAATTTTTTAAAATAAGCCCTGAAATCGATGGGCTTAATTTTTTGAAAATATTTAGGTTGGGCTAGAAACTATTGTAAAGGCTATAAATTATATATAAAAATTATTTTTCAGTGGCATAATAATTATTCTAGAGTTTAAAGTAAGCGCTGATACGAAAAGCGTTCGCTTGAAGTGTGTACTTGGAGCTGGAAAGGAAGCTTCCTAAATTTCTAACTTCTTTTTTTCTGAAAAATTAGGAAAAAATAATGAATAACATTCTCTATTTATACTAGCTTGTTCTTCCAAATAATGGTGATGATTGTTTGATAGTAATATTATATTACTAATTACATATAATTCAGATTTTATTATAATTTTTTTATTATACAAAATAATTTTGCGATTTACAAATTTAAAGTAAAGGAATTTAAATTAAATAAAATTTTAATAAAGAACTGCATCAAAAAAATATATAAAAAATAAAATAATTATTTTTCAATTAAAGTTGGACTTATTTTAAATATTCATTTACTATGCTTTTAATCGAAAGCGAGGCAAAAGTGCCCTGATCTAAATAATAATGATTCCCTATTTTTATTGGTAAACCGAAAAATAAAATCAACACAAATTAAACATTTGTTTGTTTATAATTTTTTTATTATATACAGTGTTGTGCGGGAGATTTTATGATTTGTGAAAATTAAAATTGGAATGGATTTTATGTAAGTTTGATCATTGTGATAAATTTCCTTTTAAAAACTTTCGATAGTCTCTCACTTAATGTGGGAGATCTGAAAACCCATCATAAGCCTCAATACAAAAATCATACAATAAGCCATTATCATTCAAGGTAAAATCATTTAAAACCATATTGCAATCAAATCAGAATGGTTGCACGAAAAATCCTCTATCATCTTATCCTTAAAACTATCTCAACGGTATAAGGATTTGAAAGCTTGCAAAATATTCATATAAAGATAAAAAAATATCTGATTTGAATGTAATAGTTATTTCGGACGATGACTTAGGTTATTTAAAATGTTTAAATTATTTTTTGGGCGAAATTAGGGCTGAGCTAGATAGGGTTGAAATTAAATTGGTCTCCAAATATGGGGTAGGATTAATATATAATATAATTTTAAAAATAAAATTGGTAATTTATACCTGATTCAGCTGTTGCAATCCTGATCACAGATTGGTATGTTTTCTTATTTATTAAACCATCTATTATTAGATTAAATGAAACATAATTACTAATTTATATGATTATATTATTAAATATCCAGTAATTTAATCAATCGATTGTCTATATAATTTATACCAGCGTTTACCCAAGCATTTATAGTTTCATCAAACCCATATAAAAAAAATTATATATTTGTATTAAAATAATCAAAATTAGGATCTATTTAAATTCATGATAATTTTAATAATTAACTAAGCATTTTTATTTTTTACTGCCCAAAAAAAATATAGTCTTAAGAATATTATAAATAAAAATGATTTTAGCACTTTAACCACTTTTTTTAAAATTAATATGGTTTATTTTGCATGGGTCATAAATTTTCTACAAGGATTTTATAAAATAGACAATCCAGAATGTAGAAAAAATGTCTCATGGAAAAATATTTGTTATTCATAAAAAGATCACGATTTTTAATCGGGATTATCGTTACATCTAATTTTAATGTATGCATGCCTTTTAGATCGGAATTTCAATCACCCTTATCAACGGTCACATCACTTTTGCCTAATTTGACACTGAATAGCCTATATTTAACAGATTCTCAATTATTGCAGACATTGCCTTCCATCTCCAACAACAAATTATCTCGTCAAAAGGTAGACAATTATAATTTGTTATATATATTACTATTTAATTATTTTAGGCGTTACCGAATATGGCCTCCCATGTCATAGCTTCTATGTTTAACTGTGAGACAAATGATATTTATCAGGAAAACACATCCTTGCACATCGAAAACATTAATATAATTACTACAGAAATGCATGGTGATTTACAAGTTATGGAATCTGAATCCAAACTGAGCTATGCACAGGCTCTTTCTCGCAAAAAAACAATATTCAAAAATGATATCGAAAAAAATTTTCAACCTGATAAATTATTGGATGTTGAAGATAAATCTTGTGTTGAATGGACCGAAGAAACTAACTTGCCAATCGCCTTAACTGGAGAAGTTGCAGATTATGGTTTGAACATCAAAGATGCCGATCAATGTGAAAACATCAAAGATGTAGATGAAGGTATAACCAACAATGATGCAATATTAGATATAGAACTAGGCGAGACCATTAAAAATGATTTAAACTGGGAAAGTTCGTCTTATATACCATTAAAAAATACCAACTCTTTTACTAGCATAGGATCTGATTCTGATAACGTTAATAACTCTTCTGAAAAGACTTTTAAACTTAAGAATCATAATAGTAATATCACATTAAGAAATTCTCGAAGGCCTCCAAAATCAATCAACTATGGCGCAAACGTTCATAGTAACCATAAAAATAATCTGGAATTTAAAACTTCAAATAATTTCAATTATTACCAAAAATTTACCTCCTTGCCTTTCCACCCCAGAAATATAGCCGCTACGAAACACCGATTGTCCACCTCTACCGATAACAAAGACCCTCCTACATTCATTAATATCAATAAAAACCCTATACCATATTCTCAAAATGGAAACATTTATTTAAATAAAAGTCACAATCTCCGGCCCACACAAAACAATACACCCAGATGCAATGGTTTCAATAACGATTGGTCAAGTTCGAATTCTAATCATATTGATAAAAGCGAATCTCTCAACAAGAAATCCACAGTTCAAAGTTAACTCCATAATATTATATTATATTTGATTTTGAATCTTGATTTTTATACAATTTTTATCTGTGGTTTTCTATGTTTCATAAATTTAGATAGTAGCCACTGTTTGAAAAGAATGAATGGAGCCCATTATAAACCACACCTTCATAACCCAACTTCTGGTGCTAATTATATCAAACGAAATTAAAATATGTAAATATTTATTAAACACCTTGTGGTCCAGATATAAAATCATATAATATTTTTTTTACCATATTTCTAATATTGCTTATAATATAATTTTTATAATAATTATGAAAATAGTTAATGTTATCAATTATTCTTTATATAGTTTATAACTCTAACCTATGTACATATAATTTTTATGGATTTTATCTGATCATTCGATTTTACTAAATTTTTTAAATATGTTTTTATTAATAGTGACATTTTCTTAGAAATATTAAAATTTCGTTTAAAAGATAACTAATGCATGCAAAATTCGTGAAATTTACTCTATGAAATTATATGAAGAAATCATTTTTGCATTTTTAAGGCCATCACCTAGCTGTATGAATGTATATGCTATAAATATTTAAAAAATATGTATGTCATAGCTAATAATATTTTCAGCAAGATGAAAATTTGTTTTATTTTTAGAATTTTTTATTATTTGTTTAAATTTAAAGGGTTTTAAAAAATTTTACGATTGTTTATAAAATATTAATTTTTAAAATTATACTAATGAATATTGTATAAATTTATACATCATATAATTTTACAGCTTGTTTTTTAAATAAAAGTGGATTATTTTAATTACTTTTGTTAATATTTTCAGCAACATGAAAATTTGTTTTATTTTTAGAATTTTTTATTATTTCTTTAAATTTAAAGGGTTTTAAAAAATGTTTACGATTCTTTATAATATATTAATTTTAAAAATTATACTAATGTATATTGTATAATTTTATACATCCTATAATTTTACAGCTTGTTTTTTTAAATAAAAATGGATTTTTAATTACATTTGTTTTAAATAACATTTTCTAGTTATTTGGCATTTTTGGCTTAATATTCGGTTTAATGACTACTCAGATTTATTATTTAATATTAAAGTTTTTCAGCCATAATAAATTTGATTAGTTTGGACCCTGCCTCAGTCAATTTAATATCCTTGTAATTCACAATGTCGCCATGCCGATGATATAGATAATAGTGCGTTGCTCATTATCTTGTAAATATTTATGTAGATAAGTTTTCATAACAACAACCTATAATAATCACACATAATATATCCTCGATATATTAACAATATTTTATTTTTTGCTTATTCTATAAATTTTCAAGCTAAATACTTTTATATTATTACCCAAAGCAATATGAATTTAGGATTTTTATACGATATTCATGGCAACATATCAAAACGATTCAACTGAACCTATAGCATGCCTTTTAAAAATATGAATAAATGTAAATAGAATATGAATGTTTAACTTAGAGTGAATAACTTGAAAATATTTTGGCTTAAAATTTTTTTTTACCTATGCTAATAAAAAATATATTCGATTCAATATTATAGTGGCTCTCTTATATCGTTTCCTCGACAATCTTAATTGTTTATAATTATTTTTTAAATTAACCAATTAATATAAAAAAAACTTTATAATAAAAAAACAAGTTAACGGAACCAAGAGTCTATGAAGCTGGTGGTGTTTCTGGAACCTATCCAACGTTTTGAAAAAGAATATGGAAATTTTCGTTTAATTTATTACCTATAATTATAATATTTATTTACTTTTATAAATTGCAGTTTGCTTCACATAACAATAATATTAACCCTTATGGTATTCCTATTAAAATTATAAATTTTTTATCAAATTTAACATATCTTTAAATTTTAATAGACTATTTTGTTACCAAAGATAATAAGGAAGGAGATAACTTTATATCGAGCCTAAATTCATTAGTTTTTCTATAATAGGCCAATTCAATCGTATGACGACATATTTGTTCCTACAGATTTATATATTTCTATAAAAAATATTTATAACTAACACCTCAGACATAGTTTTTCCCTGCGTAAGTTAAATCAAAATTTATCTTTTCAAATTATACATAATATATAGATTGATTATTTTTTTATACTCTTATTATCTTTAATCAATAGAATTTGAAATAATAAATTCACTGAAAAATATTAATAAATATTTTGTTTTAAAATGTGGTTTATTTTTAAAAAAATTAATGAGGAGTGCCAAAATTATCTGCTGCCTCCAATGAATAATAATCTCCGGCCTGCATCGGGTATTTTTTAAAAAATTTTTAGGGCCGGCCTGGAGGTTCGCGAAATTGGTGAAACGACTTGAGGATCAATTAACAAAACCTATGCCAATATTTAGAGTGTTAATTGATCTTCAAACCAGACACCGGCTGAATCAAAGCTTAATGAGTTATAAGGAAAGGGTGAAATTTTGAAGCTGCCGGAACGACTTGTAGATTCAGAGCACTAAATAAAGATAAGTTTCATCCTTAGGGCTTCCATAATTTCTCTGGTCAGAATTTAACTCAAAACATTTCCTTAGCGTATAACTATTTTTTCATATGGTTTTAACAAAATTAATTACGGAATTTGAATTTACTAATTAAGTGCTATATAATAGCTGCGATTATAGTTTATTTTTTGTATTTTTAGCAAATTATTAGTTTTGAGTGACTGAAGCACTAATCTCAACTAACAAACCACTAAAGAATGATATATGTTTCATCATTAGTGCCTCCAATTAACTTTTAAGCGTGAAGTTGACCAAAGTTATTGTTTAAACTATTTTTCCCTAACTTCGCTTACTATACAGATTGAAGTACTAACGAGGCACTAAAAAATGGCATATTATTCTTCGTCAGTGCTTTCAATCATTCGACCAACTTCACGGGGCTTATATTTAATAATGGGTAATTCCACTGGTGTCCGGTATGAAGATCAATTAACGTGCTACACATTGGCATGGGTTTCAGCAATTGAGCTTCAAGTCTTTCCGTCATACTTTCTCTATTTTGTTGATAATATACTTCCGTTTAATTTTTTTGACATTCCTTTTGAAAAATACAAAAGATCGACACTATTGGCTTTAACTAAAAAATGATTGCTTTAATTTTAATTTTGACAAAATGCCAAAACTTTTCGATTTTTTTATTTTATTATCATTTTCCTCTATTAGGTTTCGCAAAAAAGCATCTGCAATTATATTACTTGCGCCATTCTTATACATTTTTGTATTTTCTTCCAATTGTAGTTTTACTGGTTCGACATTTTTTATTATCAAACACCGTAGCAAATTCTTTATATAGTTTGTCAATATTTACGTTACCATTATCATTGTATTTATATCTATTGTTGATCATATTGATTTTTACATTTTTTGGTAACGATAAGTCAAATTCGATAATCCATGGAAATCCAAATAGAGCTGCATCATTTGTTTGTGTGACTAATAATGGAAGCCATTTTATGTTATTATTTAATTGTACTTTTACATCAGCTTCACCCATAATTTTGATTCTATTATTTACATATGTAGTTGGTGCTTTAGCCCTTCTAAGTTTTGGCCTTCCGATTTTATTTCATATTATTTCATTAATAATGGTTACTGCCGAGCCAGTATCATATTTCATTTTAATTTTTTGGTTGTTTATTAATACCTCAATTGTTGGATGTTTCCTATATTTGTATATTTTTCTTATTGGGACATCCGAATCGTCTTCTTTATTATTGTAATTTGTTCCGTTAATCTTTTCTTTAGCTTTACAACATACGGCGAAGTGGTTTGGTTTCCTACATTTGCTGCACAATTTTCCGTAGACTGTACAATTTCTAATAGCATGAAGCCGATTACAGAAATAGCATGGTTTTCTCCAATTACTATTATTATTTGTATGGTAGTTATTATACCCGGGCACTAGTTCTCTTTTTATATATGCTTTATTATCCTTTTGATAGTGCCGTTTATCATTATCATTATTATTATACTGCCGATTATTTTTATCATGTTGATTTATCCGATTATTAATATGTTTATTCAGCTCTTTGATTTTATATACCATTTTAGCAGTATTATTTATTTCTAAGTCGGCTCGTTCCATCGCTAAAACCAATTCTGCCACTTTGTTTAAGCTTAATGGTTGGTCTTCTTCTTTACCCGCGACTTAATCTAATGAAATCAATTCTTGATGCCAAAATAGTTCTTTCATCTTTATATAGTTGTTTTGCTATTTTATATATGTCAACCCATCCTACTTCCTCTATATTCCTAGGATAGAGTAATTTTTTGAAATCAGTTATAATGTTTATTCCTCCATAAGCTATAAATAATTTTTTTTAAAGTGGCGTCAGTTTTAGAAATATTTTTCATATTTAAAATATATTTGATATAATCAACGAAGTCCTCGATAGAACAATTTTCCTTTTTAAAGTCCTGGAGAATAATTTTATCCATAATTTCTAAGTATATATAATTTTTTTTTTTATAAACAGAAAAAATTTTTATAATTCTTATATTATTAAATTGACCGAAGACCGAAAACCTCGCGACCTAGATTATTTTTACCTTGTCGCCATTTTTTATAGTCAAAACAATAGATTCTTTATTATAAAATTGTTACCTATATATAGTCTTATAATTATGTCATTTAACTACTACTAATATGTAATTACATTGACCTTCATAAGATAATATAAAATGTAAGAAATATATAATTCAAATAGCGTAACCTTTTAAAATATATATAAACATTCAAATATAACAGGTATTACTATAGTTTTTGTTTTGGCACGTCGCCATTATTTGTTTATTTTTGTTTTTTTCGCAAATAACTTTTTATTCTTAAATTCAGCTACAAAAGTGATTGAAGCACTAACCTCTACTAAGGAAGCCTTAAAGAAGGATATAAATTTCATCGTTAGTGCTTTCATAATTTTCTGGCCAAATTTCGACCTCTAAACATTTCTTTAACGTATTACAATTTTTTATAAAGACGGTTAACCAAATTAATTATGGAATTCAAATTTACTAATTGAGCACTAAATAATGGCAAAACCGGATGTTTAGTACTAATATAGTTTTTGTTGTGGCACGTCGCAATTATTTGTTTATTTTTGCTTTTTCGCAAATAACTTTTTATTCTTAAATTCGGCTACAAAAGTGATTGAAGCACTAACCTCTACTAAGGAATCCCTAAAGAAGGATATAAATTTCATCGTTAGTGCTTTCATAATTTTCTGGCCATAATTTGATCTCTAAACATTTCTTTAGCGTATTACAATTTTTTATAATGACGGTTAACCAAATTAATTACGGAATTCAAATTTACTAATTGAACTCTAAATAATGAAGAAAACCGGATGTTAACTACTGCTATAGTTTTTGTTTTGGCACATCGCCATTATTTGTTTATTTTTGTTTTTTTCGCAAATAACTTTTTATTCTTAAATTCGGCTACAAAGGTGATTGAAGCACTAACCTCTACTAACGAAGAACTAAAGAATGATAGTTTCATCGTTAGTGCTTCCAAAAGTTCGGCCAACTTCACACCTAAATCGTGACGTCATAATTTTTATTTAGCTAATAACTTTTTTTCCATATGGCGGTTGGCCAAATTAATAATTGAATTTAAATACATTAACTAAGCACTAAATAATGGCGAATACCGGATGTTTAGTACTACTCTAGTTTTTATTTTGGCACGTCGCCAATATTTATTTATTTTTGTTTTTTCGCCAATAACATTTTATTCTTAAATTCGGCA